TCCCCAAAAATAGTTGGTTCGTGGCTTCAAAGGGGGTGGTCAAATATCGGGAAAAATACTGCCCTTCTATTGGTCAATAAAAATAAACCAAAAATAGTTGGGTTGGGTTCATTGACAACCCCTAATGCCCCGGCCCAGGGGTGTATTGAAAACTATTTAGTAGTCAAAGAAGTCGGAGATGTGAAATTCGGAAACGGTCGGTCGATAGACGAGTTGCGGGGGGTCCTGTAGAGAATGACACTTTCCGTCTTCGCCAGCAATCATGCAATCGCCTACAGGCATTCTGAATTCGCCCCGCACGTATGAACAGCAACACCGTTCAACGCCGGCCAACATGACGGCATCTTCCTCCGACTTTGGAGAAGGCGATGGTGGATATGGGCCTTCTTCATTGCCGTAGGTATCATATACCCATATACAGTAGAAAAGGCTCAAAATACATTACGAAATGAGTGTCCACCGGGGTCGGTTGAGTCGGATATACAGGATGGCTCGGGTCCGGTCACTGGTCGTGGACCGGTATACAATCGCTTTTTAATTTCTGAAACCCGAACACAATAAATCCTACATATTATATCTCTTCATTTTCACTTATTGCACACATAGTAAACAGAGAATATACCGAATATCTATACGTCTTCATTGTGTCCCGGTTTGTTTTACTGTTGTTTTTGTTGTTGCCATTGCCATTCAATAGCCACGCACAATGATCTCCAATCGACAAAGCAACATAAGGGAGTTGCATAACGACCAACGTGACACCTTCGCATCGGCCAAAATGACAGCGTCGTCGAATGCTCCTTCTCCTGAGAGTAGCAATCAAACCCTCGAGAAGGTTTTGGAAGAAAAGATATTGAAACGGGTTCTCGCAGAGATCCAAGAATCTAAAGATGACACTGATTCCAAGATTGAAAGCTTGCAATTGGACACGGATGCAAAGATCAACGCCATCTTGAGAGGTTCCCAAGGGACGAACAATGGCGACGCAGCCAATAACAATGACCCATCACCAGCCGACGATCCTCCAAAGTTCAAGCTTCCGCGAGATGTATATTCAGTTCTTGCGACTGCATCTTGGTCTTCGGTTCCTTTTTGGTTCTGCGGCTTTGTTATCTTTGGATTCCAGTATTTTTTGCTGATTCTTCTATTGGCCAATCAGGTCGATATCAATTCGGAAGACAATCCATTGAACTTGCCAGCAAATGTTGAGACACCGGTCCGCATCAGTCAGATTCTCTTGGTTGCCATCGCCTTGTTCAGTCAAGATGATCTATTGGTTGGGATCGAATCATTTTTTGACGGAAAGCCCGATTATTATCGTGGCGATCTTCGTTTTGTGAGCATGCCACTCGTTCAATGGCGACTGGCATCAGTCATTCGACTGGTTCAAGGCCTACTCAATCTGCTTGCGGCCTTTGTGTTATCGATTCAGGCAGAAACCATCCCAGATGTTTTGCTGAACGTGCTCGGGGTTGGTAAGTTATAGCAAAAAAATGGATTAGGCTTTCAGTCGATTGTCTCTGATCATTTCCGATCGATATAGGTTTCATTTCGAATCTTGACGATTTGGCATTCGGCCTTGCCTTGAAAGGATACTTTGGACAATCCACGAAATCGCTGGCGAAAGATGTTTGTGATGCAGAGTTTCACCGCAATTCAAAGAAGGATCAAAACATAGATCACACTTTGGTTACCAAACTCAAGAACAGTGCACACATCATGATGGCCTTCGCAGTCTTGGTCGTCATTCTTTTCTCATTTACTTTTCTTTCGATTGCACAAAATCGGGGGATGTTCTCCGAACAAGACATCCAGATTGAATTCGGAGATGAGCTTCTGCCCTTCCTTGGACTCTTCAACGGTTGCTACAAGGCTTCCGAGTCATCCAATGAGCAGCCCTCTGGCCGATTGGTCTATGAGCAAGTTGGTTATGCAAACGGCGGCAAGTTTGGGTTCTGCTCTGACTTTGGAGGAGGTGACGGTGGATGGGCATTCTTCATTGGTGAGGTGGGAGACATATGCGAGACATTCATTGTTCGATCTGGCGAAACGTCAACTTTTAGTCTGCTGGAAGCCGCAACGACCAAGTGGTATACTTCGGAGGACCTTCCGTTGGACTACTTGGAAATCACCGAGATAAAGAACCCATCTTCTGAGTGCGGACAGTCGATGTTGCGTAAAACAATTGATGCATGTCCAGCAATTCTAGACTTTGATTCGATTCCTATGTCGCGACTTCCTCAGCGTATTGACAATATGGAGTCTCGATCTATTCTGGATGCTTCTGTCTCCCACCCAATCTATTACTACAACAGGATCGAAGCCAGAAGCTTTGATTTATTGTTTTTCACAGGCCGAAGATGGCTGCGAACAAATTCGGAACACATCTCTACCCTAGCTGGAAACGAAACGAGTCTGTCAGATATCCACGATTTCTTTTTTGTAAAGGATGGGCTTTTCACGCTTATCAATGATCTGAGAACATCCCCAGACAGTCAAACGTTATGGGTAAGTGCTATGAGTGGAATCGTGGATGTCAAGAGAGATCAAGGATCGGCTCTTGGGCTTCAGTGGTATTTGCCTCGCTACGAGACTGCAGATGAGACAAGCGAAGGAGACAATAGTCGTGGTTACCTTCAACGGAACTTTCCGTCTGCAGATCTCACCAGACCAATTGATACAGTCATGACATGCCTATATTGCAACAAAGAAACCAATCCTTGCCGTTACGAGGGAGTCTGTGATAATGACAGTGGCATTTGTAATTGCAAACACGGTACCAAGGGCGAGCTGTGTCAAATAGAACCTCTTGAAAATGGAGTATGCGATTTGTTCTTCAACACAGCAGAATATCAGTACGATGGCGGAGATTGCTGTGGTGGGACTTGCGTGGGAGCACAGTGTGGCGAGGACGATCGTCCGAATCCTTTCTTGGATGCAATGCATTTGAGCAACCCTCTATTCTTCCTCGGTGAACCGTTTTTTGCGTTTGACGATATGGCAGATGACTGGAACGACACCTATCGTGGACGGGAATTTGGATTTGGCATGGATATCGTCAATGACGACGACCTGAAGTTTTACTTCGTTCCATTTCGGTACGAGCACTGTATTGATCCAAACACAGCATTGCTCTTGATCCAAATGAAACCAGTCTGGTATCAGTCAGACATGTACAAGGGCTTGGAGTTTGAAGGTATAACGGTGCGATGCGATGGCACGTTTTACCTACGGATGCCAGAATTTACGCTGAACACAGTGGGCGAGCCTACTGGCACCTTCCAAGAACAAGTTCGCGTTCCTTACGGAGCAGATTGCGTCATTGAGTTCATCAGCGAACATGGTTATATGATCGATGAGGTGTCTGTTTTTGCAGAGAACGAGCCAGAGCCGTTTATAAAACAACGACGCATACTTGGCTCGGACACAGTGCCCACTAGATTCCAGATTCCAGAATCAACTTGTGTACGGAATTTGTTTCTTGAAAATCGTTTCTCTATATCTTCATTTGAGGTAGGAGAATGGAACATGCCAGACCTTTCCTTTGGCTGGAACGAGTACATGTCCGAAGACGAGTATACCAGCTTCGCAGAAGGTGGTCAAATAGATGCTATTTGCAAAAGAGATCGGGATGAAGTGCTCGAACGATATGTACTATGGAAAATTGCAAATTCGACTATCATGGACCTATCCCAGAACTTTTTTGGTCACATTTGTGATGGTCTATGGGACGAGAGGGACAAGGGCAGTTTGTCTCTAACTTGCAGCGGCCGGCGAGTCAATACACTCCATGTTCCTACTTTCAAAATGGAAGCTTCTCAGATTGAAGAGGCCATCAAAATGTTGGAGTACGCCAAAAAGTTAGGTACGATAAAACAAGGGAAAATCATATTATGGCTTCTCATTTGACAGAGCAGATCTCACTATTGCTTTTCTCTTGCCTCAGAGCATGTCGGATTACCTGGTATTGGAAATGAGACGCTGGAGGCTGCGGCTATGGATGTCCTATCAACACTTCCTGTTTTGACAAGTCTTGACATGACTGGTGCATCCCAGAACAACTTGACGTCTCTTCCCTCCAAGATTGGTAGTTTGACATCGCTGCAAGGGCTTGACTTGTATGATAACCAATTGACATCGCTCCCTTCTGAGATTGGACGATTGATATCCCTGACAAATCTTAACTTGTATTCCAATCAGTTGACTTCTCTCCCATCCGAGATTGGAAGATTGACATCGCTGCAAGATCTTGACTTGTCCGACAACCAGTTGATTTCTCTCCCTTCCGAGATTGGAAGTTTGACATTATTGACACGGCTTGACCTGCGTCAGAATCCACTGATATCAAGGGATTCCCTTCCAACTGAGATTCTAAGTCTGGACTCATTGTATTTACTTTTACTCTGATGTGCAGGACATACGAGTGAATGCTGCTTTTGAGGAAAACCACTACTTGTGATGAATATGATGAGTGTGATTGACATTGACATCTCGTGTCGTTCTTTTTTTGCAACTGCAAGAAGAATTCTGATGGCTTTTCGGGGAGCCAACGGACGATACAGCCAATAGTGGTCTTGTTTCTTCTTCCGATCATTTAGTTGAGTATAGTAGATTTTATTAGTATTGTATGAAACGTCGAGATGGAGAAGTACATCCATCATTATGATTGTGAGCTTTCATTGTTTCGTTATTTTCTGTTGCAAATTGTACAGTATATAATAAATGCAGTCAGATGATATTGATTACTTCGACCGCATAAAATAACATACATATCGTCTTGAATTGTGCGGTGCGGTGTACAGTACACGTGTACGCATACTGTCTACAAAAAGATTGATTGATTCCGCAGTCACTCCATCATCGCATACGGCACAATACAGCATTTCCTTCCAGTTGGATCTTTATTGTTGCCATTACAATGGCCACGAAAAAGATCTCTTACTTCTTTGACAGTCCTCAACACAAGCAATAATCGACATCGGCTTACTTTCGATTCAAGGTTCTGGCACCACGAAACAAATCTTTGAGGGCGTTACGGGCACCGCCGACCGACGAGGCCGCCGCAAACCTCAAACTGCCTATGTAAGACACATGTTGACGACCAAGATTGTGGTCGTCACCCAGCGAGACGAATGGGAAGGACATTATCGTTTGTATGAAGCCCTGTTGAGTGGTGCCATGGTCATGAGCGATCAAATGCTCATCTTGTCTCGATTGGGGTTATTGGAAAATGGGACATCGGTGATTGAATTCGACAGTGAAACAAGTCTGATATCCTTGGCCCAATATTATTTGGACCACAACAGTGAGCGTCAAGCCATTGCAGCCAGAGGAAGACAGATTGCCATGTCGCGGCATCGATCCTCCTGCAATATATGGAATATGTTGTTTTTCCTCATATCAGAATATATTCAAATATTTTAATATCATAATGTCCACATCATCACAATAATGACGGGTGATCTCCTTTCAACAAAGCAACACAAGGGAGTTACATAATGACCAACGTGACACCTTCGCATCGGCCAAAATGACAGCATCGTCGAATGGTCCTTCTCCTGAAAGTAGCATTCAAACCCCTGAGAAGGTTCTGGAGGAAAAGATATTGAAACGGGTTCTCGCAAAGATCCAAGAATCTAAAGATGACACTGATTCCAAGATTGATAGCTTGCAATTGGACACGGAGGCAAAAATCAAACGCCATCTTGAGAGGTTCCCAACCTTCGGCCCAATGGTCATTTGTAGGGACAAACAATGGCGACGCAGCCAATGACAATGTCCCATCACCAGTCAACGATCCTCCCAAATTCAAGCTTCCACAAGATGTATATTCAGTTCTTGCGACTGCATCTTGGTCTTCGATTCCCTTCTGGATCTCCATGTTCGTCATCTTTGGATTCCAGTACCAATCAAGTTGATTTCAATTCGGAAGACAATCCATCGAACCTGCCAGCAAATGTTGAGACACCTGTACGCATAATCCAAGTTCTTTTATCGATTCAGGCAGAGACAATCCCAGACGTGTTGCTCAACGTGCTTGGGGTTGGTGAGTCACAACAACACTCTAGGATGAGCTACTTGCACTTGATTTTGCCTTCTTGTGATCTCACAAAACGTTTGTTTCATTTTCTCATATGATATCAGTATACCTGTAGGGTTCATCTCAAACCTTGACGAGTTGGCATTCAGTCTTTTGTTGAAAGGGTACTTTGGACAATCAATGAATATGACGACAGAAGATGTTTGTGTTGTCAAATTTCATCGTGATCCAAACAAGAATCAGAATGCAGAGCCATCGTGGTTCATCAAGCTCAAGCACAGCGCTACTGTTGAACCAGTTTGAGGCATCCAATCCCAAGGAAGTTGCTCTATCGAATAGATGTATGTACCCTACCCATGGGTATATTATTCAAACGATCTTGCCACTCGAGGCGGTGTATTTTTATGTTGTTTTCTGTGTTTTTTGTGTATGTTGTGCTGCCTGTATTGAAGCTTGATTGGGCCTTGTGTTCTTGATCCCTTCTGCCATGAGTATATCGATCCAAATGAATGGAGAGCGTCTC